ATCTCTAAGTAAGCTGTGGTTAGTGCTGGCCATCTGACTAATTTACCTCCATTTACTGTGACCTCTGCTCATCCTCCTCATCAGGACTCAACAACAATTATTCACTAGGTTTCCTCTCAGAGCCAAAACATCTGAGACGGTTATGGCAGCTGAGAGGGTGTCCACAGTGAAAGCAGTCTCCTCTACACCTCTTATGATAATTCCTTCCATAATGAGAGAGCAGAAAACACTCTACCTTTTCAGTTTCATGCAGCACTTTGCAATGCAGCTGGGGAGATTAATAAACCAAGATTCGTTAAGTACAAATGGGATATAAAGTGAATGGTACAGAAGCAGTTATTTACATAATGCATAAACAACATTATTTATGTTCACAGTGAAATTTTGACATGTAAATTGAAATGTAAATAAAGGTCTGATAAAATCATTGCGTAAGGCTGCCAAGCGCTAAGACGGTTAATCCTCAGATTATCTAGAAAAGTTTCTTAGATTCAAAAAGAAAAGTATGCCTTCATTTCCTAATTTGTTTAATGACGATTATTTTTTATGCTGATTATGTATGTTTAAACAGTGAAACATACTTTACATGTTTACTGAGGTGATCATCTTTCACAAAAAAATACATAGCTTCAGCTTCAGCCAACAAGTTCTGTAGAATACATAGTGCAGACTTTGTCGTCAGAGTCAATAAGTATTGACTAAATGCTAGAAATTTTGTTAGGTTTTTCCTCAGGAAAAAAAGAATATTTGTAATATATTTATGCCACTAGTGTTACATACATTATAGTATGATTTTTGGAATTTCCTACACTTGTTCCCGTTGTTAACAGGGTGTGTACAAAATTATACATGAGTAAGACAAGGTATATTGATGCGAGGTCCATCCAGCGCATAGTGCCAAATATGTCTTCAAATGTGCCAAAATTCTTTTGGACCATAATAATCAAATTTCCTCATTTTTTAGACTTCCAAGATGGCATTTTATAAATGACACAAAAACAAGTGCCTAATATCCCACAATGTGAGCTGATATTTTTTTAAACAAGTGCCTCTCTCATCTTACACAAGACAACATAAGACCAGGGCCATAAGTCCTGCCCATCATTTTAAAGTTCTTGTTATAAGCCACCATCACATATCAATCATTTTCAGAAGCCTCACTTTGTCAGAATCTAAGGCTGGTGAGAAGACAAGTTTGCATGTTTAAAACGGATAGTGAGAGAAGCTTTTTGTTTTACTCAATAAACCCAGAGGGTTAGACGGATTGGGAAACTCCTGGTTTGTTGTGATGGCAGGCTAACACTTAGCTGAAAACAAGGACAGCCAACAGAACAAGCAGAATTTTATATTTTAGGCTGAAAAAGTTTTATGGTTTCTACTTAAAATTTTTTGATTGAATAAACCCCAACCCCTTTTGATGGATTCCCTTTTCAGGAGAATTTTATATTCTTTTTCTATGGATAATCAGAAAGAAAAGGAGCAGACAAATGCCCGGAACTGAAAACTCTGGACATTTCTCAAGTCAGCTTTGGAAAGTAAGGCAAATGTCATCATCATCATCACAAAACATACTTTTATCTAAGCATTTTAGTAATAGTAGGTGGCATATTTTGACATGTATTCTGATTTTCTTCTTGAGGAAAAAATAAAAAAGTAGATGTTCATGAAGCTGGTAGTGACTGAAAACTATTTTTTTGAAAACAGCCATATACTGTTGGCAGTAGGGACTAAGTGGCAAATGAAAAGGAAAAAATATGAAGTTCAGAAAGAATATTTAAGACTGATGTATGAAAGATCTTACTTAATGGTACATTGCACATATTCAAAAGTACATAGATTAATATATTTTTTTATTACCCATATATGACCTTTCAATTGCCCAACGTGTAAGATGACTTTTCCTCCGTTTACCTCAAAATGAGATGCAAATGGTCTTATACTGTATTTTCATAAATGTCTGAAACACAAATGTCTGCCATACTCAGGTCAACAACAAATTAAATACAGGAAATATGAAAGTTAGCAAATTTGTGTTGATGCGTGGGATTTAAGCTGGACCTCCTCAGCTCAGTGTGTGCTGTCATGGTTGCCTGGTGACAGACATTGTACACCCCTGTTGCTCTCAGTCACCCAAATAATTCCCCGTATTCCACCACATCCTCAGAAGAAAAAGCTTAAAAAATACAGATGTAAGTAAAGGAGAATCCCTGGCTGAACAGCATCAGCGGGGATGATGGGTGAAAATGCTGCATGGTGGGCTAAGCATGGCTCAGGAAAGAAACACGACAGACACAGAAGACGGCAGAATCTCAATCACCAGTCCTACCTTAATCAACCCTTAAAACTGATATTGTGAGGAATATCATGATTGATGTGATTCTATTGAATATTTAGAATTTTGGTTCATTTTTTAATATATTGTACTTCTAAACAGTTTGTTTGCTTTGTCCTTTTTTCTACTGCCATATTCAGGGGTCGACACAGTAAATCATTTCAATTTGCTCACAGACATGGCAAGAAGTTTTTACATTAGATGCACTTCTTGATGCAACCAGGATTTTAATCCGGGGTCCCCTGTATAACCATTTAAAGACTACTCCATCATGGAGTGTTGTAAATGTAGCCTTTATAAATAGTTATTTACAGATTAAACCATCCTAACATACTAACATTTAATGAATAATATAAACAAATATTTACAGATCATTTCATAAAAAAAAATGTTACCAATGCAATCCTTAACATAATGGATAATGCTAAATAGTATTTTTGTTGCTTTAATGTAGCATTTTCTTGAAAGAACTTAGGGCAGACAATATTTAATATTTATTGTATGTTTTAAATTTAAATATTCTAAAAAAAATGACCATCTTAAGAGTGATAATGCTACAGCTAGGTGATAGATCATGGAGTATCTCATTAAAGGGGAACAATAATGTTACATGCCATACGAAAGAGGCCAATCCCAGATCTTCCAAATAGAACATCAAGAAATGTAAGGAAAATTCTTATTCCTACCTAACGTGAATAGGGACACATCATGACACATCATGCCTTCACTTGAATCAGTATTAATATGGAGGATTACTTTCGCATCCATTAACCTTCCAGAGACATCTGAATTTCTCTGCAGCTTTAGTTCTGCTTCAGTGAAAACCAACATTTACATTCAAAGCGCAATCCGAGTCTCATCCCTCTTGGAATGAAATATTTTTTGGCACTTTTTAAAAAACTGAATATTGGACTTTTTCTCATTTTTATAACTATGCAGGTGCAAACTAGCTTAGTCATAATGCTTCCTTGTTCATCCCCTGCACAGTATCAAAGCTCTGGTTATTCAGTGGTATTGTAAATGTACAAAAAGTGCTTTATTTACTTAAAAATCTCAAAAAAACAAAGTAAAACAGAAAAATAACCAATAATATGATAGCAGAACTTGATAATCTTTCAGATAAATGATATGCAAACATGCTGGGCTACAATTATATAGATTCAAATAATGCCACATATAATGTGACTATGCATCGTTAAGTAAGTGATTGTGCTATAACCAAATGCTACATTATAAATTTTTTTCACTGTTTTGTAAATAGGAATGGATATAATTGTGGTTACTATAGCCTAATATAATATTACTTTATATGCAGCAATGTTTAAAAATGTATTTTTCATATTATTTTTCAATAACACCACTGTTTTTTTTAAAATATAGGTACTGTAACACATTACCTTTTAACAGGAGGAAAGCGGCAACATACTTAGGATTAAAGCATTTAGTATTAACTCTCATAAAGAATAATTATAAATTATTTTAAGTAAATAAGAATAAAGGGATTAATCTTTGAGATATCATGTTTGGTCCCTTATGAGAACATGTAACGTTGCTTAAGTTGGGTTTATCTAAATCAAGGGATTCAACAATGGATTAGAATTCTAAGCAACAGATTGTTTTTAGGACTCTGATGTTAAATGTTGTATAATTACCTACTCATCTGTTGAGGAAAATAAAAAACAAGTTTAATGGCATACAGAAGTAGCTACGGCAGACTTTACAGGTCTCACATTTTTGTAGTATGAAATATTTTATATAGCATGGGGACATAAACTTTTCAGAGCTGCTCAGAAAACTTAAGGCCATTTACTAAATGATAAGAGACCTAAGGGTCAGACTCACACACCTCAGCAAAAAAAACTATAAACACACAAATTTAAAGCTTTCGAAGTGAGGCGAAGCACTTCATTTCATGTGCCAAAGTTCTGACTCATTAAAAAAATTTACACAGGTATCTCTGCCAGTGAGCAGCAACCTCTGGCTTCTCCTCTCTTATAAATAATGAAATTTATGTGTAGGCCTGCTCAGAATGAGCTGTCAGCTGTGGCAGAGGTTTGTTCACAGACATTTGGGTATAAAACTCACATTTTAGGGAAATCAGGCCTTTTGGTATAGAAGCCACAGCATCTGGAAGCCATGGCGCATTGGGTGTTTAAGTGTGACACAGAAGTTTGAGAGCTTTAAGGTTTTCTAGATGCAGAACACAAACTCTACTGCTGTGGGGGTGTTGTGTGAGTTGATTCAACTTCAATCAAAGTTGTGTTTATTTGCCCTCATTTCAACTTTAGATGTTCAAACTGAAAATGTAACCCGCTGAGCGCTTCTCAGATCCCCTTTCAAGTCTTGACACATTTCTAATTAGCAAAATAATGAAAAAAAACTTTTCTAAATACAATATGAACTAAACTAGGTTTACACAAGTATTCAAAAATTGCTAACATAATATGTCCCCCTCACATTTTACTCTTAAGGATTGATATTATTATCATATTCAGTCCAGATAAGTTACATCCAACACTGATGTCTCTCTGTGACTATTTTTTTAGGTCTTTATAAAACACGTTGAGTAAACATGGGATTACATAACAAAGGTTGCGATTACCACTTTTGCATCTCTGATTACAGTCCTTCCATTTTTTAGAAAAACAAAAATAAAAAATAAGCATACCTGTGCTACAGCCACTTGAGTCTGCTGCTGTTGTTGCTGGAGCTGCTGCTGTAGCAGCTGTATCTGGTGGTGGACAGATAATGGGGCCCCGGGAGGCAGAGTGCCTGATACTGGCAGTAGCAGCCTGGGACTGGACATCAGAAGAGAAGGCTCTTCCGAAACCTGATTGAAGAAACAAACAAATGCATGTCATTTTCACCGCTGAAAAAAACATCAGTCTGGAATGAAAGAGCCGTCTTGACTAAAGAAAGACAAGTTATTTGTATAAATGCTTTACATGAATAAAACATAAAGGAAAATCCCCCAGAAAAGTCCATTGCAGAGGCAAAATAAAGGAAACAGGGATTTATGTTTTAGCAAAAAACTGTCATAGTTTAAGTGGGCACTGAAAGAAAATGTGAAGGCATACAGAAACAATGTATCTAGATATTCTAGTGGGATGGTTCAGCAGGTTATTTACTTTTAACTTGTATGAATTTACAGTTGAGAAAGCTTACAGATAGAAACAAAAAACAGATTTGATTGACTGATATATACGGGACAAGCATTAGCATCTCTATTTCACCATGGAGAATGAGCAATCATCAAAATATGAACCTGAATTTAGACTGTTGTGTTGCTGATTTGCTCCTTCAGTGTAACTGAGCAGAGCAGAGAAAATGTGGTTCACAGAAATGCTTTGTTCCAGCAGTAATGAGCTTTGGGACTCCAGTGAATGGCATGCAACCTAATTGTTAAAAATCTTTAGCTAAAAGTTCCAGATTTTGCTCTTCCAATCACTTGATCTGTTAGAATACTTCTTAGTTTTACAGATCTATTGCTTTAATCACATTCTGACAAGATTGCATTATTATCTCAGAGGGTGACTGCAGAATACAAGTCTAAATAAAAGGAAGATTAAATCGCTCAGGGAATGAGGTGCAAGCAAATAAAATGGACAGATGTTCTGTAAAAATATTACTATGTTTAACATTTTTTCACTTAAGTTGGCTTTTAGTTTTCCTTGACAGCCATCATGAATTGATAATATATTCAGTTTCTCACAACATATTCACATTCCTCATCAGGTGACTCGATTGATTCTATGTTAGATTTTTTTTTTTTTAACCAGGTTATGGTACCTTTTTATTTGTTTAGATCTATGACATCTTTTTTTTTTTTTTTGGCATACGAAAGTCTGCTATTACATACTAGGATGTATTTGTACATATGTACAAATACATTTCATGATAATACAATAATCAGACAAAATGAATGGAATGAAATCCTATTAAAAAACAATTGTAGATTACAAAAAAATGGTATGCATTAACACTCATGTGGCTAGAAGCTTAGACTCATCTTGAGTGTGTTTGCAGTCATATGAACACATACTTGTAAATCCTGGTAAGAGACCTTCATGGACCCATTTCTGTTTAAGGATGAAGGAAACATTACTGCTTTCACAAGTCACTGCAAAGTCTGCTCATTGCAGAATGGTGCTTTCCCTTTCTTCACATTTTCTCTTTGACACTATATGGCAGTTAATCCTACACACTTTGTGTATACTGCTGACAGAATCTCAAATATGTCGCATCCCTTAGAAGGAAAGAGCAACTGCCTTAAAGTGACTTGAATTGTGACACTGGCTAGAGTCAGTGTAACAACTTAACACCTGATAATATTGAAGCTTTGCCAGCCATGAGGAATATACTGTATAACGAGCCACATTAGCATCTGTTGCTCCTTAAGCACCTTCTGGCAGTAAACCTTCAATCATCTGCAAACAAATGCAAGTATACACACCCCCACACACATCTGTATTTTAAACATAAAGTGAGGAATTTGCATACACTGACTTTCATTTATTTTCTACCCTTTCTAAAGTATAATCAGCCTAACCTTAACCTAAAACTGTGTTCACACCAAAGGTGTTGTGGGCGTCAAATACGTGCAAATGCAGAAATGCGGGTGCTGGGTCAGACGCTGGATCAAACTGTGGTTGACTTAAGTTAAGCTTTGACGCTTTGGCACTTATCTGCTCCGTTCTGTAGCTTCAATTTAGAGAGCAGCTTGGCTTTATTTAATTTGATGAGTTGGAAAGTCCACCTCTAAACATTGTTCATCAGGATTATGATCCTTCTAAAATATGCAATTATTGTTCGGAGTGCCAGAACTCCAGCACACCACCAGGAGGCAGCACTGGAAATCCTTGCTGGGAGCTCTCAGCTGCAGCCAGCCTGTGGCGTATTTACGGCTGCCATTTGTAGCAACTGGAAGTAATATAAAGAATTTTAAGGTTTGTGGTAAAAACTGAAAGTACTAGAATATACAATTAAATACTTTTCGTCAGCAGGTTTTAACTGTTTTATTTAATTTGGATATTCATAAACTGTTTCGCAGTTTATGAATATCCATTCATAAAAAATGTAAGGTACATAAAAAATGTTTCAGTGCAGTAATATTTATCAGAGCCCAATCTCTTCCTTCTACATAACAATCAATTTTTCCGGCTTTTTGTTTAACTCCCTTGATATTTATTTCTTTTTCATATGCAGTCAGCTCTTCAGAAGTGATGACAGTCTCGCCCAAAAAACGTATGGAACAGCTTTTCTGATCGGTTGATGCTTTGGCGTTCAGCGGCAAAAGTTACATTCACTGAACTTCAGTATCGAAAGCTTGGATGCACCGTTCCCGACGCTCAGACACCCTGCTGGACCCAATAGACCTTGCATATCAAGCCCAGAACGTGCCCAGTCTGAATGCACACTGTTGGTCCTAAACCTAACCCAAAAAAATGTAGGACTATTAAAAGGTTGTCATTTTTCTCTGTAGCACTTCGAGATTTCTTTGAAATATAAGGTGCGTTACAAATAAAATCTATTATTATTATTATTATTATTATAATCAAAGTCCTTGCTTTGCTGGTGAAATGCACCAAAAATGTCCTCACTTTGCAGCAAGTATAAGTACAAACCCCCACACAGGCAGCCAGATGGACTCTGCAGGAGATGGGTAAATGAATGATGGCCTGTCAGGAAGGGCTCTTTCAGGTTAGTGGAGGCTAATTATCCCCTCTTGACAAGAGGCTGAAGGACATGATCAGCAGAAGAAAAACAGCAGGACAGTGTCTGTTTTCTGTGAATGGACTCCAGAAAATTGAGTACTGAAGAGGTTTCTATGTCCTCTACTAGTATATACAGTTGTAAACATTTGGGCATGGAATTCCAGGGAGACCCTAAGTTTCGTCTCCAAATAGTGCAAATAGTTTTAGATGCTTCACAACGAAATAAGACTGTCCCATGACCATATATGAACATGTGGCTTAAATGGAAACCTTGAACCTGCTATGTTACAGTACTTAGACCAAATAGGTTTGCGCACTCTCTGCAAAACAACAATTCTGCAAAACTTCAGTCATGGCAAAAGTGTCTGCAATGGAAAGATAATTTATCACTTAGAAATTCTCTTGATACGAGAGAAGCTGTGAGGTTTCTGTGGCTCCTCTATCAATTTACATCTTACTAAAGGGACAAAAAACAACATTGTCATTATTTTATACCATATAATCTGTATTTTACAGGATGCAAGGGAAAGGGGTTTCTTTGGAGTAGGGCGTGTCATAAAAACCACAGAAATTATAACCTTGGAAAGTGAAATCAGATCTTTGCAGTGTGCTTAAGCAAATATTATGAGCCAATCAATTTTTCAATGGGTTGCACTACAAGTATTTTTCATTCATTTTAAATGCTATAAGTTTATTTTTCTTTCCATCATAGTAGCCTGAACACTTCCCCTCCTTTTTTTCTCACAGCAGCCAGAACAGCCCAAATTAAGAGTGTCTGCAGGTGAGCAGACATCTTTCAGCTGGAAGCCTTTCCAGTGGGGAGCAGAGTGCAGAAGATTTTTAATATGCAACAGGCATTAGGGTGGCACTGCACTTATTGAGCCATTTGTTACAGCAATTAAATCAGACACATGGAGCTAATGTGGAGTTATCGTCACACCCAGGACATTAATACCATGTAACCATGATAAACAATGATCAAATCTCCCTAAAGAAGCATTGCTTCTGACTCATTCATGAACACTTTCAGAAATTCAAACCTGGATGCCCACTGCTCTCTTAAATGATGTAGTGCAGTTTGAATTCAATGTGAAGTTGGCCTGGCTAAAGTTTTTATTGCATATGTTGTAAAGTTCCAGCTTATTTAAATTAACAAAAGAGGTATTTGTCTTTAAATGAGTCATGCTTTGCTTTGACAGGGATTTTATCTTGTAGATGCAGCCTTTATGATACAAAGAAAAACATCAATACTTGTGAGTAATCCCACGTTAACACACAGCGCAAATTACAGTCCTCCCCCTTTTTGATAAAACCATGTTGTCAACAGCAATCATATTTGTATTCTGGTAGCAATGAGCTGAACATAATGTTTTGACTTACCTTTTAGACAAAGGTGCCGATTCGTTATTTATCAACTATTAAATTATAAATACATCCTTTATAAGTCTTTTCAAACGTTTTCTTCCTAGATTTTTGCAAACCTATTTCTTACATCTGATCCTAATGTTTCCCAGGAGAAAACAGCCATAAAGCTAGATCATGTTGACAGGTTTCTCAGTCAGTGATGTAAATATTCTAAAATATCAGGGTTTATGTGCAAGAGGAAGCTATAGAGTATTCCTAGGATCAAATAAAACCTTTGTGTTGAAGTTCTTTGGAGTTTTAATCTATTTCTCTGGTTCACTGTGAGACACTTGAGCCACAGCTAGGCTGTAAACTAAAGGAGGTTCCACAGGATTGAAAAGCTGGCTTCAAAGCTGTCAGTGTTGTCAGGCAAACTGAGAAGATTTAGTAAGTGGAAATATGAATGAGATGAGTCAGCACTCAGATTAACAGAGGAAAAAATTATGACATGTCACGTGACACAGGAACAAATGCCATTTCAAGAAGCAAGAGGAAGAGACACAGATATCAACAGTGTCAGAGCAAATGGGATAAGATGAAACACAACAGATAGAGAAAACACATTTAAACTCCTTGACCAATATTCAATAGAGGAAACAGAAATGAATGGAAATCTATCCATCCAAATAAAGACCAGCTTCGTATAACTATACAGGTCGTTTTAAATCACTGAAGGAACTTAAACTAAAATATAGAATCTACACAGAGGAAA